GTTTTGCTTTATGATCAATTTAGGCTCATGGAGATAGCTTTTTCTTGGGGCTTGTTCTTGATGCATCTTAGTGGAGCATACAGAGATGCTGCTGATGATATTAACGAAGTGTTCTTTGAAGATGAAGAAAAGAAACATAGCAGAACGCAACTTTAGTTTGTTATTAAGATTTCTGGGATGCTTGTTCAAGCGTCGCAGGAAGGTTTCATGTTCTATGTTGCCTGATGTAAGCCCAGATTCATATTGAAAGAACTTAAATTAGTTGAAAAGGAACTCTACAGCATCAAGGACAACATTGTATGTGCAAAGGCAGAGAGGGATGAATGATATTTACACTGGTCATCGGCTATATCAGAAGTAGTAACAATTGAAGAATTTTTTGTTCTCATCAATCGACCTTTACAAGTGTGGGCATATGCCTAAAACACTAGCCACTATCCGCTGATTCGGCTATTATGTCCTTCTCTGTGACTCTCGCCTTCTCTTCAACATCCCTTCCCGGTCTTTTGTCCTGTCACAAAAAGCATAGACGTGTTACACGGAGGACTTCCATTTCTGCAATATGTAAGGATTTTATGCGGTTAAAAATCACGGTAATGAAGTTCTGATAGGGGGACCAAAAACTCACATCTCGGAAGGGGAAGTCATCAGCTTCAAGCATGTGTATGATGTGGCTCATCTTCGGCCTCTTCTGAGCATTTGGGTCTACGCAGCGCAGAGCCACCAGGAGGGCCCGTTTCAATGCTCGTGAAGAAGGGTTTTCGGGCAACTTGGGATCTAAAACGCCCTCTGAGTTCCGGTTTGAGACCATTGTCTTAATCCAATCAACAAGTTTTACCTAAGAAATATAGAGCATAAGATGGTACGGAGTATCATTTATATAGTTGTTTTTATTTAAAAAAATAATAAACTTGAACGAATCTTCGAACCTCTCCAGGTGGGCGCTTGTAATCCACTGGAACTCTTCCAGTAATTATCTCCATCAGAAGAATCCCAAAACTATAAACATCGCTTCTTTCATTCAACATGCCAGTACTAGCATACTCAGGAGCTACATAACTGCATCATCATAGAAAATTGAAATTATTAAATTAGCCTTACCAGTTTCAATCGCGGAATCCGTATGGGATTACAAAAGTTGCTTGCTGACCCGAAGGTACCCATAACACGAGTGGTAACGTAAGTCCTCTCAGAACCCAAGAGCTTGGCCAAGCCAAAGTCAGATACTTTGGGATTCCATTGTCTGTCAAGCAAAATGTTGCTTGATTTGATGTCGCGGTGAACAACCTTGGGTTCAAGACCTTCATGTAGATACGTTAACCTGTGGAAGCCATCAAAACTTCCATGATCAAACAAAATAGAATCCATAATAGATTCAGAAGATGTATGCATATATGTATAATCATATATACCCTTTTGCACATCCAAGGATGATATTCATTCGAATTTCCCAGGTAAGAGGACTGCAGGGTCCCACGTCTCCATGGAGCCACTGCTCCAAGTTTCCATTGTTTACATACTCATACACTAGCATCCTAAGATATGAAAATCCAAGGGCAGAGAACTGTGATAAGATAATTAGCACAGAATTGAAGAACAACTTAAAAGCTCAACCTATAATAATTCATAAAGCCCGTTGTGATTTGTGAAGGTGGATGAAAATGTCATTTCGACATAGATTTCTTAGATAGTTTTCAATGATTTATTAATGATATATGTAGTATATCTTAAATGTAATTCAGTGCATTCAAGCCATTTAATCACAACTAAAGTTCCCAAATTTAGACACTCCAAACATTTTGGCATTACCAAAGGGGTTCTTACTATATATAAATTCAAAGTTACCTATGTGCTCCCTCTGCGCAATAGCCAAGCAATCTCACCAAATTCTTGTGCCGAACACGCCCAATCGCTTCCACTTCAACCTTAAACTCCCTCTCAGCTTGTCCCCTGAAAAAAAACAAGAAAGCTCCGTCGAATCTAGACAATCAATGTAATGAAGAAGAAGAAGTATCAAGTATGTGAGGTGCAGACATGGATTTTCTTAGGTCATAGAATTGAAATGTTCACCTGTTATTGAGCAGATTCTTGACAGCAATGGTGGTGTTATCATCAAGAATTCCACGGTAAACAATGCCATAGCCACCCTCACCAACCACACGCTCATCGGCAAACCCATTGGTGGAAATCTCAAGCTCTCTCAGAGTGTACCAATGGCCCCAACCCAAGTGAGACACCTCCGGCGCGGAGGAGGCGGCGGCGGCCGACGGATCTCCGCCAGACCGTGACTCTCCGCTCTCGTGCCTCGATCCGCCGCTGCCCGGGTACGAAATCCTGTGGCCCTTCCCGATGTCGATTTTAACCATCCGCTGCCCGCCCGAGCTGCGCCTGGCCTCCTCAGACTCCTGAACCGGGTCGGGTAGGGAATGAGCGGGATTCTGCGGGCGGGCTTTTGACGGGTCGGGTCGGGAAGCCCGAGTCTCCTTGATTGCGGTGGGGGTTTTGTGAGCAAGAAAGAGATTAGTAGTAGAAGATGACTTTTTGACGGCGGCGTGGTTGCGGCGGGAGGTGAACCAGAGGGAGAGAAAGAAGAGGAGGAGCACAATTGCAGCGCCGACACTGATGCCCAGAACGACCCATAACCGCAACCCGAAAACCGAGGTCCGTTTCGATAGCAGGTCGTTAAGAAACGCCGACATTACCCTCTTCTTCTCCTTGTTCTGGACTTGAGATTTCTTCACTGAGAAGATTTGTATTTACTTTACCATTTTGTTTTCCTCGCAACAAAGACAAAAATGAACAGAAATAAAATTGAGAGCACTGGTAATACTCCTCACGCCCAGGCGTTATGGGGCGTTAAACGCCCCGGGGCGTGAAACACCACCCCCGCTGGCGTTAAACGGGCGTGAGGAGCCCTGCGTCATTCGTTTGACGCGGCGTGAGGGTCGATTTTTTTAGCCGTTCCCCTTCCCAACGGCTATAGAGCCGTTACCCCCCCCCCCCAAATTAAAAAAAAAAATTCTAAATTAAAAAAAAATCTATAAAATCCCCCCTTCTCATTCATCTTCCTCACACCTCTCTCTCACAAATCTCTCTTTATTACTATATATTCTCTCAAAAATATTTATTATTTATTATAAATATTTATAAAATATAATTTAAAAATGGGTTCATCTTCCGACGATGAAAGAAGAGCTTTATTTTTTCGTTGTTTCGCGACAAATTGTATTCTATGGTGGGAAGATGATCATAGAGGATAACGGGTCTGCGATTTGTCAATACAACCCGGACGAGGAGGTGCCTATGTACGAAGAAATCACCGAAGAAAAGAAACGATGCAACCGCCAAGAAATTCGAAGCCGAGAGATTCACAATGCACTAACGGCGGATTTGATCGAGCATATCTTTAGTCGTTCGAATAATTAGTGATTTTTTTGTACTGTTGTTTTTTTTATATAATTTTTTTTAATGAATGTAATTTTTTTTTAATTTTTTTTATGAATGTAAGATTTTTTTTATATTGAATTTAATTTTTTTTATGCAATAGTGTCATTGTGATTCATTAAAATAATAAATTAATTTAAATTTATAAATTTAAATTTAGAAGATGTATATTTAAAAATGTAAAAAATGAAGGTTTGAAGCCCCAGTTTGAAGCCCTGGGCTTCAAAACCATTTCCAGTGAATTTTGGGTGTAAGTTAAAACTGACGTGGCAGAGAAAGAAAGTTTGAAGCCCCGGGGCTTCATGACCATTACAAGTTTGAAGCCCCGGTTTGAAGCCCCGGGGCTTCATGAGAAAACGGAGTAAAAAGATAAAATTGAAAAATCTACATCTTGAAAAAAATAAAAAAGCGGAGTAAAAAGATAAAATTGAGAATCCATCATAGGATATTCAATTTTGACCTCAGTTTTTTCATTTAAATCTAATTTTAATAATACTCCCTCAGTCCCACAAAAAAGTTCCCATTTTGATGTATTTTTGGTCAAACAGTTACACGCTTTGATCATAAATTAAATATAATCTAAATAAAGAAATGCTAAAAAAAGTTGAAATATCAAAACTAGATCATAAGATAAATCCAATCATATTAAATTTATTTTATAATTCAATATACATTTCTCACAATTTGTAGTCAAAGCATATAAATATTTGACTAAAATACTATTCAAAATGAGAACTTTTTGTGGGACGGAGGGAATATTACTTTTTTTAGAAAACATTATTATTAGAAGTATTTACAGATACAAAACAATGTCAAATACAACTGACCACAATTTTGACTTTGGGCTAAAATAAAAAATGTGTAATTTTTGGTTGACTTTCTAATTTTGCTCCTGACATGATGGGTAAAAGTAATACTCCCTCCGTCATAAAACTTTCTTTCCCAGAACATTATTCCAACTTCACGGGAATTTATATTTATTTGTGTTTTTTCATGGCCTATATGATAAAATAAAATATTCTTGTCACCACTTGTTTTGTTGAACTTTTGATGTAGTTTTTAAATATGTATGTTTTATTTTTTATTTCTATACCAACTAGTATCACACCCGTGCGTTGCACGTGATATATTTAAGTTACTAAATTATGCTTCCTTCGTCCAAAAATAAACTTTACGTTCACTATTTACAAGGTCAAACTTTATTCATTTTGTTGACCTATTTTCGTCACCCATTTGATAAAATAATATAGTCATGCCACATCTAGTTTTGTAAATCTTTTGATATAGTTTTTTAATATGTAGTTTTTATTTTTCAATTCTACACCATTTTTCATATAAAATGATTTGAAAATAACTTCAGTCAAACATCGTAACGCGTAATGTAAAGTTTATTTATGGACGGAGAAAGTATTAACATCATTTTGAATGTTATAAATTAGTATATACGGAGTAATTGAATATAGAGATTTTATTTTTTTAAGTTACAAAAGATAAATGATTTACAATATTTAAAAGACTACTTTATAATTCACATTACTCGTATAAATTTGTGAAAATGCTGTCTTCGTTGCATATTAGAATCTTCAAGTAATTATGATTATTACGCTTGAAACTACAACATACATTTGTCCATGACTAAAATATAAATAACATTAATCAAAACTCCGATTAAAAAATTTGTTCAGAGTTAATTGTGTTGTTTTTTTTCATTTTGTCAATATACTCCATAAAAACAAAGGAGCATTTATAAAAAAAACTAAATTTTTTTGCAATGATTCATTTTTAAGGAAATGAATACTTGTAGTGTCTCTGTTTAATGTCTTTTTTGTTGGCATTTTACTCCTTTTTTATTAACAATGTAACACCGTGCAACATTTTTTGCCATTAATGGTAGTACACGGTAAATTACACGGTATTAACAAATTGCAATTATGGTAATTCCCAATTTCACAAATGGTAATTTTTAGTTTAATAATATAACGTTTTTAAAATAATACCGTATAACATTTTTTGCCATTAATAGTAGTACACGATAATTCACATGGTATTAACAAATTGCAATTGCAATTATGGTAAGTCTCATTTGTTAATACCGTGTAACATTAATTGACATTTGTTAATGTAACAAAAATTACAATTTGTTAATACCGTGTAATATTAATTGTCATTTGTTAATGACCCAACAATTACCATTTGTTAATACCTTGTAATGTTAATTGCCATTTGTTAATATCGTGTAACATTAATTGACATTTGTTAATGTAAAAAAAATTACCATTTGTTAATACCGTGTAATATTAATTCCATTTGTTAAAATTTCCTTTTTTGCGAATCTGGATTTAAAATTTTTTAACTTTATTTTTTAATTATTTCCAATTATATTAATCACGTTTAGCATTTTAACTTACCGTGTAATATCAGAACTTACCATTTCCTTTTTAAATATTTCCATATTATATTAATCATGTTTATTATTATTATTATTATTATTATTATTATTATTATTATTTCTTAAAATTTCCTATTTTGCGAATCTGAACTTATAATTGTATAACTTTCGTTTTAAATTATTTCCAATTATATTAATCACGTTTAGTATTATAACTTACCAAAAAAAATAAATATCATGTAATATTATTTTCCAAAAAAAAAATACCGTGTAATATTAACTTACCATTAACTGCCTTATTATTTATTATGGTTAGTACGGGTGTAATATTAATTTCCATTAATTTCCTTATTATTTATTATGGTTAGTATGGGTGTAATACTAATTGTCATTAATTGCTATAATTAGGTTGGCGGAGGCCATTTTAACGTAAATATTTAATGTTTAATTTAATTATTTAATGTAATTGAGTCATTACCATTTTAAGTGAACAATTGCTATTTTTAATGCACTAACGCATAGGCGGGAAAACCATTTCTTGAATCCATGTCTTTTTAAATAAAGTATAGATATTTAAATAAAATAGATTGAAAAAACTTGAGATTTTTCTTCGTTTTGCGCAACGGGAAGAAAGTTTTAGGACGGATGGACTATGTGATAGTTTGATTATTAGTGAAAAAGTATGATGTGATAGGTAAAATATGAAAAGGTAGGAGTAAAAATGGTTTGTTAATTGAGAGTGGAAGTATTTTAGGAAATTAGATAAAATCGAAAGGGAAAGAGTTTTATGGAACAGAAGGAGTATGAATTATGGTTGCGATGAGCGACAACTTCCTCGGACAAACAATATATCTATAGGGACCTCTTCGATAATATAAGTGGTAGAAAAACATTATCTAAAGAAAAAAATAAATTATTTTTGTTACTTTAAAAAAAATTCTTACTCTCCATCCTAGCCCTCACCCCCATCCCCCACCCCACCCTGTCAACCCCTATGCCCCAACCCCTCTGCCTCCTCCCACCCGACATGCCACCCTCGTCAACCTCCATGATAGAATTTGGGATGAGTATGGACAACTGGATTGGGTAACAAGACACTTGAACTGAACCACACTAAAAGATTAAATCCAATCGATTAGTTAGTTAAACTCAAGATCTTATATACCGATAACTTTTCTATTCAACTTTCCGATGTGGGATAGACTCTAACAATCCTCCTCAAGTGGACAACCATGCCATTTTGAATCTAACCGGTTGACCACTTGCAAATAAACTCTCATTCCCTTTATTACAGAGTATTATTTTTTTAGCGCCAACACCTAAAGGACCACGAGCCGCTGGGTATGGACTTCCAGACGAGCAATCGTGTTAAACGGGCCACAGGCCGTTAGGTACATACTCCATACGGACAACTGGGCTAAAAACAAACGGGCCGCTAGAAATGAACGTCTAGACGGACAGCTTGGCAAACGAGGTGGGATAAAACTGGCTCCGATACCATGATAGAATTTGGGATGGTTATAGACAACTGAATTGGGCTAATAAGACACTTGGGCTGAACCACATTAAAAGATTGAATCCAATCGATTAGTTAGTTAAACTCAAGATCTTATATACCGATAACTTTTCTATTCAACTTTCCGATATTAGATAGACTCTAAGACTCCATCATGCCACCCTCTCGAATGTTGCTACCCCCTCATCCCACTTCAGCCCCCTTATCCACCACCACATTGTTGTCCGTCACTCGCCAAACAATGTCATGTGCTCGATTGACTCCTTCCTCCGACTATCCTGCGCCACACGCCCCCCTACTTCGCTCTCCTCATGCTGTTAAAATAATTTAGATTTTTTTAAGAATATATTTTTCAATATCAATTATAAAAATATTAATGATTAATAATATTCTTTTGGGAAAAACTTACCAAATATTTTTTTCTTAAAAAATAATTTTCTCAAAAAATATTTATTCCCTGACCAAACACATAATCACTGAAACAGTGAAAAAACAAAAAAAAAACCGCATATATGGTTAGAATTGGCCGAGAAGCAAATAATCCACCCAACTGACCCAAAGGAAGGGACAGTCCAATCAATATGCTTCCAAATCTGGTCCCCTTTAAATTAAATAAATAAATAAACAAATAAAAGAGTGGCGTGTGAAAGATGGTCCATAGTGAAAGCTAATAATTGTCCCTGTGTTTATTTGGCAAGGTTTCGTTCAATTTATGTTTTAAGAATCATGCTACACTTATATAAAAAATTGTAGCTCATTTGTACATCACATATATACACAAACATTTGATGGTTTACACAGACACAAGTGCTGGTGCGTTAACAAAAATTTACATGGACATAAAGTGTTAGTACGTTAACAAAAATTAGTTTTACACCAACACACAATGTCGGTGCAAACATGCGGTGTACAAATCGGGTACAAAAATTTGGGGTACAAATAACTTTATCCATTTTTTAAACATATTAAATATTTTTATTAAAATTAAATAAGAATGGGCAAAATCTTCAAGAAATTAGATCAAGTGAACGGAGTACATTTTATAAATTTTAAATTTTAAGTGTGAACCCTTTGAATATTAATCGTCACAAAATTCATATTTAAAATGTGAACTTTATCACATTTTTCATGGACTTGCATGTTCATAATTTTTAGTTTACAACATGCTCATTTTTATTATGCTAAAAAAGTACTAAATTTCATAAAGTGTACATGGACCTCAGCTCTATGAAAAAATTTGCCTCCATAGATTCATAGAATATTATCTAATTTGATTTGGTAAGAGCATAATCTTTAGAGCATCTCCAAAGGGGCTTGGTATATGTGGCTTGCTATTGCTTTTCTTTAGCTAATGAATAGTGGTATAACAAGTCACTTTTTGCTCCCTTTTCCAACCATGACTTGTTATATTACACTCCCTCCTTCCAATAATGTTTTACTCATTTTTTATCAACGTGCAAATCTCCATGATTTTAAAATGATTTTATTTATAAATTGTTAAATAAAATACAAAATAAAAAAATTATATTTAAAAAATTACATCAAAAAATTTACAAAACAAGAGCTGACAAATTTTTTTTAATAAAATAATCAATGAAAATACACAAACAAATAAGAGTTGTCGAGAAGCCGTAATAGTAAATGGGTAATTCTTTTTTGGAGGGAGGGAGTAACTAACAAATATATTTTGTTCCAATAACCATTATAATACACCAAATACAATAATTCTTGAATTGTATTTATTCCTGTTAAAAAAAAAGTAATAAATATGGAGTATGTGTCAAAGAACTGATTCAACCAAAAGCTCAAACTTGTGGTTATGTCCAGAAAAAGTTATTTATATTCTAATAGTATCTAATTAAAAAATATAAAATAAAATATTTCTATTTAAAAAAAAATAAACCAAAGAACTCTTCCTACGATAAAAATCACATTCACATTGAAAAAACAAAAAAAATGTTATACGAAGTATTTAATTTGTGCAATATATATCATTATAAAAGAAACTTACCTTAATTTTTGTTTAGCTATATTCTAGCATGCTTGTTATAAATAGCAAGGTATTTTCATTTTTTAGCAAGCTAGTCAAATTTTGAATAACCCTTTGGAGCATGAAATTTTGTATATGTTTGTCAAATTATAACATATAGCAAGTCATTTGGCTATGGTTGGAGATGCTCTTAGAGCTAGAAAAAAAGAGTTGGATATCGAAAGAAAAAGGGAAAATTGGAAAATATTGAAATAACTAAAAAAGACAGAAAGAAACTAAAAAAATAAAAAGAAACTAGAAACTTATTTAAATGTTTTTTTACATATCATTCTTATTATAATTGTTATTGTTATTGTTGTTGTTGTTATTAACATTATTATTATTTTTATTACACCTATCATATATAATAGATTAAGAAAGTGAATAAATTTCATCCACGTGAATATTGTGCATGCCACTTAATTAGGAACAAAGGGAGTAGTATAACTATTATTTTTTAGTTTAAAATAATGATGTTTTCCCAGGTCAATTTAGATTAATAAAATACGCCTAATTTTTAAAACACTGCTTAGTGTCATGAGAATTTTTTTTAAAAAAACTCAATAAATTTGTACTCCGAATTATTTATACTAAAAATGAACAAAAAATAATAATGAGTCTGAATCACACAAACACAAGTGACATGGGAAAAAATGAATATTTGAAAAATATACTATAGTTATGAAGATAATAATAATAAAAAAATTAATAATAATAATAATAATAATACATGAAAAACACATCATTTTTAGTGTTGTCATTATTTGAGAAGTATAAAAAGATCAAAGAAAAAGAGAATAGTTGGAGAAACTGGAAAAAATTGAAAGAAACTGGAAGTTAGGAGTTTAAGCTCTAAAGAACATGATGGAAGTAGGGGTGATTAATTACCAAACCGATTCTGAAACTTCCTAAAAAGAATCGAGAAAATAAATAAAAAAACACCGAATCAGAAAAAAACCGCAAAAAACTAAATAATACCAAACCAAACGCTCGGTTCGATATTCGAGAACGATACGAGGTAACTTGCATACCGATATATTCCAAAACGAACATATAAATAAATAAATAAATATAAATAGAAATGTATTTTAAAATATAATATTTCCTTTATATTTCTTTATTAAGTAATAAGTTTATATTGAATTTTTGTTCAAGTTTTATTATATGTAAATTATACTTTTATCCATGTTTATTTTTTTTTGTAGATGAATTTAAAAATTTTAACAAGCATTTGAAATACTCCATAATATTTTATAATCATTCGCTCATTTTAATTTGTGAAATATAAATTAAGTTTCGTAAACAATTGTTGCATTTAATTATTCATCTTTAAATTTTTTAATGTTTCCTTATTTAAATGAACATTTGATACTTCAAAAATAAAGATTTTGTGACATTTTAAAGTGTAAATTAGCTACGCATGTATAGATCACAATATGTATCGAAACTGATACCAAAGCATCCCGAAGCATATTGAACCGATATTTTGAGATCGAAGTCGGTACGACATAAAATCTCACACCGAGCTGAAATATTTAGTACGATATCTATTCGAACTAAATACCGACATACCGTATGCTCACCCTTTTTATTAAGTCAAATTGGAATTATATGTTTCATTTGTTTTGTTGTATTCAATTTGTGTCGTATATTAATACAATGATATAAATTTCAAAAAAATCACAAAATAAATTTAATAAAATTAATTTTATAGTAATATACTCAGGATTACCCACATACATTACGAATAGTTTGTTACAAAGTACTTGAGAGAACGGAATTCGGAATGGACGAAGATTAGAAGTGTCAAATAGATGTGTAAAGACCGGGTTTCTCTTTGGTTTCTTAAAGTTCGGGTTAGAAATACTTGAAGGATTGCGGCACTTGCATTTTGCATAAAAAAATAATATAGTACTACGTAAAAAATAATCAAATACTCCGTAATTATGATGATCAATTTCAAATTTTTTTAATACAGAGTATATCAATTCTTACCACACTAAGCATATTTCACTTGTTTATATTTCAAGCAAAACCCCATCAGTGCAGAACTAAATAAAGTAAATATATATCATCCTCGTAATATTTCACAACAATAGTCCAAATTAAATTTATGCGGGTGATTTTAGAGTCATCGGTTATTTTATATGATTGGTTTACTTAAATTAGACAAAAATTTAAATGGACATTGTCAAACGAATTAGGAGGTGCGCAATGCACACTCATTCCACGATATTACAAATTCATAGCGGGAGTTCCGGGGTCGAGCTTTATTTTGGATATTATTGCTTTATGAAAATCCTTCAAATTTTCGTGAACAGTGTCCAAAACCTTAAAGATTCGGACGTATGGATAAAACATAAAAAATGACCCTAAAACCGCAAAAAACTCTTCGCGTGAACGTTTATAGGACTTTCGTGTCTATCTCAATCTACGTGCGAACGTTCACATCTTTACGCGAACGTTCATGTCTGATCTCCAAATTTGGACTCTATAAAAATGATCTCGCTGGTATGGTTGTGGAACTAATTCGAAATGCTTGTTCTTGATTAACGTCGTATCCGACTAAAGTATTTTGGTAGACCTCAAAATAATTAACCTGGATATGAAAATTCATGCGATTCGTTAAACTATCAAGTAATTCATCTGTTTCTTCGTTCATCTTTCTGTCAACCTGCTTCGCAACGTTCATCCTCCAAATAAATTTTTAACATTTTATACTTCTAAATCAAGTAAAAATATGAGTCGAGTGGCTTATGATCTACTCCGTATTACAAAACAACTTTTATTGCTATTGAATTTTCGGAGGATAGTATGTTGTAATAACTTCTAATTCTACGGTAAGTTTTGGATAAAAAAGTTCAAGTAAAAATGTAAATGTTATGAATAACGAATACCGAATATAATAAGAATCGATGTATAAAAAAAACTATTACTCCATATAACATTAACTCTCCTCTATAATAGAAGGCAAAACGTACCGTAGAATTAACTCTCCGTAGAATGGAGTACGTAATAGACAGCTTTTTCTAAAGCTTTCATAATCTAATGTGGTGTCTTTGGTCTCTTAATATGAAAAAGAGATGCTAAACTGAGAGTCTCTTCTGTTCAATTTATTTACGGAGTATTCTACTTATTACTTATTCTTATTAAAATTAGATCAAAAATAATCACACTAGATCTGAGCAAAAAATATAACTATAAATAACTATAATCAGATCAGACTAGATCTTTAAAAAATCAGATCACATTAGATCAAACAAATGAAACACAACCTCATTCATCCAAGTAGTAACTAAGGCTAGTTACCACTTGAGGGGTGTCCGAAACTGTGTGTTGAGTCTATCCCATACAGGAAAAAATCCAACAAATTCTAGACCTACTTGAAACTCTCTGCAAAAAGTAAAACTAGCAGCTGACTTATAAGTTGTATTCCGTACATGATACAAGACATACAGTAGTACCAAACAAAGCCTTGGGATTAAATACAAGCACCAACCTGAAAATGTGCTCTTTCATTTGCATGACATTAGACAGAATCTACAAATCTGAAAAACACATATCTTGAAAGACACATACAACAAGCACACAACAACATCACAACCACAACATACCCAGTGATCGAATTTCCATACGTGGGGTCGGGCTGGGCTCACGCAGAACTTACCTTTACCCTATGGAAAGATAGAGAGGCTGTTTGAGAAAGACAAAAGTACTAAATTTGATTTGGCACATGAGATGGACTGATTGAGCTCACCAGTTAGAGAGCTGAGTTATGTTGATGTTTGCTTTGGTGAGATTTAGCTGAAGTTATAAGTTGGCAATATATGATTAATTTCCTTATTAAGAAGATGAGACACCTGGTGATGAGTTATTCCCGGAGCAGCTCATGTCTAAGTGCAACCTTGACAGTGCATCGTTTCTGCACAGATCCTGCAGCCATTTGAGGCAAATTAGTTAAAATGACAAGTTTATAATTTGCTAGGTGGGAAATCATCATAAATAGACGGCATTTCGTTGAGCCAAGATTTTACCGTTGTAGGAGCAAAATGGTTAAGAAACCCATAGTGATTATTCTGCAACGGAGTCTCATCAAAGACAAGTACCGGACTTGGGTTGTTCCTCATATTTTGACGGGAATTCTCGAAACCCCTCTGCAACGAAATTTCATGGATCCCAGAAAAATTGGGTGCTCCATTTGTGTTTGGAATTACACTCTCATCAAATCTGCTCCCAGATGGAGGAAGTTGAACCGATCCCTGAAAATAACCTGATGGATACAGACTCAATCCATTTCTCATCGTCAACACCTGCAAACCAAACATATTCATCTATGTCACGAAAATATAAAATAACAAGCCAACCTTAAAAACAACGCTCTGATTTTCTATATGAATAAATTTTAAGTCTTAATAATGACCAATGGTCTATGGACTACACTTGGAAACGGTATCTCTACTTTCGAGTAGGGACAAGGTCTGCATACACACACCCTTCTCAGATCCTACTTTATGAGATCATACTGGGTTGTTGTTGTTGATCTATGGGACTACATGCGCAAGGATATTGTGGACAATCTTCTTTCTTCACGATCTCTAAAACAACACTTTTTATCCTTTCCATCAATATACAAAGGCCAACTAGGTCCATTAATCCTATGAACTCCATCAATCAATAATGAGTTAACAATATGTAGAAGGATATAGCAGTACCTGGACTTGCAACTGGAGCTGCTTCAAATATTCAATGGCTTCATCAAGCATAGATGCCTTATCAGTCTGTCACATCCAAAGAACACAACAAAAAGGACTAAGGAACCCTGCACTACTACACTGCAAAAGCATGGAGAAAGAGGTTCATAGAAATCGACGGGTTCCTGATCATCCATACCTTGTTCGAATTCGGAATCAAGGTCTGCAGTGCCTTTAATTTCTCATTGATTCGACTCCGCCTCCTCTGTCCACAAAATTTTTAGGTATGAAAATCCAAATGAACATCCTCTAAATCATATTCTGAGTCCAAATCAGTAAGAAATTGGAGAGAAATCGGACCTTTTCCGACATGTTATGAACCTCAGCTGATCTACTCCTCTTCGAAGAACGCCGTTGAGCCTGGTTACTTGGTGCATCTGAAGTTTCACAGTCCTGAGAAATTACTGATGAATATTACTCAAACATACTACACATATACATTAGAGTAAAAGCGCTGATCATTGAAGATTTGAAGCAATAATCACAAACAAAAATCACCTCAAAACCAAAAGCGAAATCGTCGTCAACCTTGTCTTCACTCCCGAACTCAATCCCCTTCGAAGAAGTGATGATCCCCGCCTCGCAATCGGCAATTCCGGCGGCCGAAAATGCGTTCACGGCATCACCTCCCTTGAATTCCGCTCCGTAGAATCCGAAATGATTCGACAAATTGAGGCCGGACGACGGAGGAGCAGGAGATCCGCCCCTCATACCGGACTCCATGACGGAACCTTCCGCCGGCGGCCGACCATAGAGACCGACGGCTGCAGCGGAAGAAGCAGAGGAGCCTCGGAGAAAATTGTGCAGGAAGGAGGTCACGTCATCCGATTCGAGCAAGTGGTGAGGGTTTACTCCGTAAGGATCCGCCATTGTTGTCCCCTTGCCGAGCCGTGATTCCTCGGAAAATATTCCCCGGAAAGAATATGAAAAAACCCGAGAATTACAGGGAAAGAGGCTGAATTTAAACAGTTATTGTGGAGTGATTCCAAAGCTGCCTGTCATGTCTTGAGCGCGCACGAGTTTTCTTGGTACGGGGAGATGATTATGAGGAGCAAAAGTGTAAGCGGAGAGGAAAAGAGAGAAAGGGGAAAAAGGTTGGGCAGGGGAAGGGTATGGGCCGACCTGTCCAGTGGGGGGATAGGAAAGCCATTGGTAAAATAACAAAATGGGAAACGTTACATTTATAGTCGCTCCATGTTGCATTTTACCCAATAAAAAAAAGAAGGATTCCAGAATATATTACAGACATTAGGACTCGGGGGTATATTATAGAATATTTTGATAAATAATTAACAAAAATAAAAAAAAATAGAGAAAAAGGTTTGGCTTGTGTATTATGTAATGATATTTAAATACCAAGTATTTGGGATAAAAAGAGTCGTAAAATCACTAAAAAAATTGCAAGCTACGAAGTTTCATGAAAGTAAACAGTATTTCAAGTCATGTACTCCGTATTATATTGTTTCATAAAACAAGTAATCAAAATAAGAAAAAAATAAAAGTAGTCAATTTTTGATCACGTAAATAATGAACATGAGTTTTTTTTTTTGTGACTAAGAGAGTGTCTTATGTACACTTAATTCATGTTTTTTTTTCAATTTATTTTTATTACTCCTCCGTCCTGAAATAAATTACAATATTCTCTTACATTTTTGTCCCAAAAAGAACTACAAAATCAATAACTTTAAGGAATTGATTCTTTTACCCTCCCACTCATACACTATTCACATACTATTCATCCATGTGAGTGGGCCACTTGGGAGTAATTTGGGGAAAAAATTTGATTTGACTCTTCCTTAATTTCAACAAAAATGGAATATTGTAATCTAAAGTGGGACGGAGGGAGTATTTGTTATTTCTTTATTGTACCAAATCAGACCAGATCAGAAATAATTTTAAACAAAACTATATTCAGATTAGATTAGATCAAAATTTATTTCAATCAGACCAGAACCATTGAGATCGTGTGAAAAGAAGTTAGAGAACATCACCTAAGGCAAATTAGTATGTGGTCATTGAGTTCACCCTCTCTTTATGAATCTTAGTATATAAACACCATTAAAAAATTAGATTTTTTGAGAAAAGAAAAAGATTTCTATGTCTTTCTATGAAAAATGTGAGATGGTCTATTTGACATGTAGATCTTAAAATCACGGAGGTACAAATCTTACACTTACACATAACTTTTTTTTGTATTTTTAAAATAATAAACAACAAAGACAAATAGCAATCACATATTTTCTCCAATACATGTTATCTATAAATAAATTTGAAGTGTATATTAGGAGAGGTGCAAATGTAAAAAGTACTCTCACTGTCCCAAAAAAACTTCTTCTTTTACAAATAAATCTTTAATGTTAAACTTTTTATCAAATGTATTCTGTATAAGGCGAATATAATACTCTCTCCTTCAAATGTGTAAAAATTGGATAAAAATGTCAAGAGCTCTTTGAGACAGTCATAGTAAGTTTAACCAGTGTGTTTTGTTCATCTTGGCACTCCCTCTCTTCGTTTAAATAAAATTGCATTATTACAAATCACACGATCAATCTTCATTTATTTTTTTCCCTATTTTCATTACTCATTTGATATAATAATAGGGTAGTCATGTTAACTCTTGTTTCGTAGAGATTTTGATGTAGTTTTTTAAATATGAAGAGTTTATTTTTTTAATTATGCTTCATTTTTTTAATATAATGTATTGAAAATAACTTAAGTCAAATAATATAAATTGAAATATGCAATTTAAATTAAGACGGAGGGATTATATTATAATTGGGGTTAAGAACAAGTGCACCAAAACGAGTACTGATGAACTAATTATCAAAACTTATTAATCTCCCAACTAATGGTCGTCAAAACTTATTAGTCCCTCACTATCAATTATAGTCTCCAAAATTAACTAATTATCTAGATGATATTCATTAATTGAAAATAATGGTTAGTATAGTCTCCTGGCTAATGGTCGTCAAAACTTATAATCCCTCCGTCTCGGAAAACCTTTCTCCTTTCTTTTTTCATCCGTCCCAAAAAACACTTCTCATTTCTATTAAAAAGTCACTTTTACCCCTTACTTTATCATACCCCGACCTATCACATCATACTTTTTTACTAATAATCTATTCATCAAATCATACTTTTACTCATCACATCAAATGACATTTTTGGAAATTCAATACCAAAATACACTCCCTTAAATCCCTCTTCAAAATCAAAACTCTCATGTTTTCTGGGACGGAGGGAGTACAAATTTATTAAAATGGTCGTTTCTAATTGGTGTTTTCCAAATTACTCCATTTTTGAAAAAAATCATTAAATATGAAAAAATAATTTTAAATTTTATAGAATGAGAATATAATAAAAATTTAAAAAATTTGAATGCAAATTTTTCAGATTGTTTAGATTTCGATATATAATCAAAATATTAATTTGATTAACAGAAAACGTATTCTTCCTCCCTTCTTATTTAACTGTCTGGGTTGCTTTTCGAATTTAAAATTTGACCAACAATAAAATCTATTAAAATATATTAGCAAAAATATTAAAAATAATAAACTTAAAGTGATTTTCGATACCAATAATTGTTATAGTTTTTATATTTTTATTTATTGCATATTTTTATACGGAGTATATAGCTAGTCAAACATGGACACGCAAAGTTAAACAGACAATTAAATAGAAATGGAGAGAGTATACATTAAAATAGCTCGTGCAAATATATAAAAGTTAATCACATACTTCCACCATTTCATAATTATCTTCCTTCTTTCATATTTGGGTTGTCCCAAAATATTCTTCCTTTTTCTTTTTAAGAAAACAAATATGTGGTCCATATCTGTTCCGTATCATCTGCCCACCCCTAATTCTCATTTCTTTCTTTCTTCTTCTTCTAGTCCTCTTGGAGGACTCCACACAATTTGCTTTGTAATACCCTACGGAGTATTTCATTAAATCTGATTACTTCAAAGAGTAAAGTTTGGATAGTTAGGGGCTGTTTGTTTCAACCTCTTAATGGTTCAGATGTCTGAATGGTTCAGCATTTAATGGTTCAGACTGTTTGTTTCAGCCTCTTAATGGTTCAGATGTCTGAATGGTTAAGAGATTTGCCTCTGAATGGTTAAGTATTATACAGAGTCTGAATGGTTAAGACCTCTTATCTGAATTGATCAGACATTTGCCTCTAAATAGTTAAGCAATATACTAACTCTTAATGGTTCAGACCTCTTACTGGTTCAGCACTTAATGGTTCAGACCTCTTACTAGTTCAGCANGTTCAGCATTTAATGGTTCAGACTGTTTGTTTCAGCCTCTTAATGGTTCAGATGTCTGAATGGTTAAGAGATTTGCCTCTGAATGGTTAAGTATTATACAGAGTCTGAATGGTTAAGACCTCTTATCTGAATTGATCAGACATTTGCCTCTAAATAGTTAAGCAATATACTAACTCTTAATGGTTCAGACCTCTTACTGGTTCAGCACTTAATGGTTCAGACCTCTTACTAGTTCAGCACTTACCTATTCAGAAGTTGTCAAACAACCCCTTAATATGAGCCGACCTCTGGGATTATATCGATTGCCTGCCTGCCTTATCACAAAATCCCAACGGGGGAGACCGCAGAAGCTTAAAATAAGAATTTTAATAAAAACTGCCCATCACCATTCCCAATGCTGATACCTTTTTTGGATAGGTCTCTGTGCTTTGAACGTTGCATATTTCCAATTTTTTTTATAGGCCAAGTAGCGCCGATACCCTCGTGGTTTGCAAAACAAGCACCAATACCCTCTCTGTTTTCAAAACTCATTTCTAAAGTCCTGTGGTTTCAAAATGTTGCACTCGTGCCCCATCTGATAATTTTCCGGCCATTTTTCCGGCGAAGAAGGGGGGCATTGGTGCATATTTTTTAAACCATAAGGGGTATCATTGATGACTTTTATTTCTCGCATATTTTTTGTTTTTTTCCATTTTTTCCATTTTTTGTTTCATTTATTAATAAAGGTTATTTTAAAATTATTTTTATAATGTTCTTAAAATTTAAAGTTATTTTTGTTTGAAAAAATTAACATATAATGCATATGTACTTCTCATATTAACAATTTTTGTTTTTTCTGAAAAAAAGTAATTTTTTTAAGAACTTCAAAAAAAATGAGGAATAAAATAAGAAACAAATTAATACAAAAATAAAAATGAATATCCTTTTTGGACATCTTAATTCTAAGGACTTTTTTTAGGCGTGTCCAATTTTTTTTGTATAAGACTTTTTTGCGTATTTTAATTTTTTTCATTTCATTTTTCTATATTTTTATTTTTTATTCTTTGTTTTTTTTGAACTTTCCAAAAAATTATTCTAAGTAACAAAAAGTGAATGTGTTTAATTTGAGATAGATGTAATATATGCTAATTTTTTTATTTTTATTTTCATTTCAAACACAAAGAATTTGAAAATTTTTGAAACATTATAAAAAATTGAAAATATATTTTAAAAAAATCTAGGAAAAGAAAAAAGAGATAGAAAATATTTTAAAAAAAGGGAAGAATAATAAACGAAAATAAGAAATGAGCATGAATGCCCCCTATGGTTTAAAAATTATGCGCCAATGCCCCCTCTTCGCCGGAAGATGGCCGGAAAATGATCGAAGGGTGTGTGGGTGCAACGTTTTGAAACCACGGGGACTTTAGAAATAAGTTTTGAAAACAGAAGGGGTATTGGTGCCAATTTTTCAAACCACAGGGGGTACTGGAGCTATTTGGCCATTTTTTTTAATACACAATGTTTTTTTGGTCTCTAATCATAAATCACAAACATTTAGATTCACCCAAATATCACAGAAGATATTACATTTTAAACCCACAAATTGTTTGGTAAACAAGTGGACAATCTTTTATGGAAGAGAAGTGGATGAAAATTGAAATGTAAAATAAACAGTTAGGCGATCAATGTAAATAGACGTGAAGTGCATGTATTCGATACTCCTTAATAACTAAACCTAGAAACAATCCATCTACTTTCAAATAGGGAGGAGATTTCTGTACACACTCTTTCTAAATCCTACATTTGTAAGATTATACGATGTTTTTATTGTTTTTATTATGTTCAATAATAACTTGACCATTATTATACATCCAATATTTAAAATGAAAATTTTCCATAA